ACCTTTATTTATCCAGGTAAACTGTTTAAGAACCACTTCTCATTTGCAAACATGACCTGGCACTGAGTGCATTGCAACATACAAACCTACATATTCAGCCATAGTAAAGTGATTGTAAATTTTAATCGTGATTAAAATTTTTAATCAATGCCCATGCAGCACTAAAATTAGAGTTAACTCGATTAATTTCATGCCCTAATTGTAACATTATGTGATATTATTTTAGCAGTAATAATTTTAGTAATTTTTAAAATAAAAATTAATTAGATGGTGTGCTTTTATTTTTTGTTTTGAAACAGTCATACCTTGAAAATGTGTTATTTTTGCTCAAACCAACCTAAGACATAATGTCTGAAAATTCGAACAGGCCAAACTAATAATCTGTTGTACTTTCCCAGACAGACAGAGTGAATATAAAGCTTGCAGATTAATAATGTTTTTTAAATATTTCTGCAATGATGAGTTGTGGAAATGACTGATCTGGTATTGCTTCTCCTCAGGGAGAGCTCTGACCAGRAAATGACCTCAGTTTAATCTTCTCTCTGAGCAGACCAAACTTCAGCTGCAGATGTAAACCATTTCCAACAAAAGAGCTTTTAAACATGTCGTTTTTCTCCTCCCCTTCAGATRTTGAACGCTAACGACAAGGAGCTGAACCAGTGGTGCTCTCTGAAGAAGACCTGCATGTTCAGGTACAGACACAGACACACAGCTGGGGTGTTGCACCTCTTTATCTGAGATGTTTGAGCACAGATTTGTTTCCTCCTTAGGTCTGAGAGGGAGGAGCTGAATGATCTGAAGAACTATAAGATCAAGGCACAAAACTTGAAGAAGAAGAAAAAAATCCTGAACTCTGTGTATTCTGAGTGAGTATCACTCTGCACACATTAAACAATCATGAGGCGAGGAGATCCACTTTTTCACATCACAGATTTTATGGATTGTTTGTTTGGAAATGACCTTTCAGTTAGAAATCCACACAAGTCTTTGTACCTGAGRCCCCAGATCATTTCTATTGTCTTGAAACACAAAACCTTTAAACTTCCAAGTGCATAGATTTTCTTTCCTCCATGACTGTAAATCTTTCAGCTTTCTCAGTTTGTTAAAGTATTCATGTGGTCTTAATTCGCAGGGAGGATGAAGAAACTCCAAAGACTAAGCTGGGGAAGAAAGGGAGAGATCGCCTGAAGAAGGCAGAGATGACGAGCCCAGGAGCAGAGGATGTCGACGCACTTTCTAATCAGGACTCTGCAGAGAAGAAGCTCTCCAAAACTCTTCATGATGCAGTGGACAGCACAGAGGAAGAGGAGGTCCTAATTCCCAAGAAGAAGAAGAAGCTGGAGGATCAAGCCCACGTTACTGCTGAGAAGGAAACAGATGAACCTGTTGATGGGCAAAAGAAGACTGATAAACCAAAAAGGCCCAAGAAGAAGCTCAAGCCTTTGGGCCGTCGTCTCAAACCAGGACAGAGGAGGGTGAGGATAGGCGGGCGGGAGTTCAGCAGACAGAGACTGAGCGCCTATGGCCTCAACCCCAAGAGACTGTTCTTCAGACAGCTGGGCCGGCAGAGACGCAAAGATGAGAAACTGAAGCAGAAAAACAAAGAGGCGTAAAAGTTTTCACTGAGCAGCAGCATCAGAAATGACTGCAGTTTCATTATTTTATTCAGTCAGGAACATTTTTTCATTGACAATTTTCGTTGAAGTGACGAATGTTTCTGTCTAAACTATATTTGTACAGTAAATAATAAATCATTTTAAATCATCTGTGTTTATTTTCTTACGTGTATGTCATTTAATCTTTTCACTTGATCATCACCTGAATGTATGGTGAGTTATTTTCTCTCTAATCTACTTTGGTGATGTATTGTTGCTTCATACTGAAAGTACCAAGTTCCTGTACATACTGGAATATTAATACTGATATTTCATGTCTTCTATAACTCAAGTGGTAAAGCCTGGCTGTTAGTAAATGTGCATTGCTACTATTAGCTATGTCTTTAATAATATGAACCAGATTTATGCCTGGGAAAATTTATACATTTTTATTTTTGTTACATTTAACAAAACAACATTTTAAAAACATGTTTAATTGGAGTATTTACAATTCTTGTTAATATTTTACAAATATTAGAGCTTGTGTTCATTCTTTAAAGCAGACACAAAGGTTGAATTAATGTTCTTAACTACAAAATAAAAGCATTGGTTTTATTCCTTACAGCATTGGTTGGGAATTAAGTATATCCACAAATAAGTCGGGTGCTTATCTTAAGTCTTACTGTG